AAGTATCTCAGTCTCTGTGAAATGATCTCAATAAATAATATTTCTTTTAAAATAAATAAAAATAAAATAATAATAGTCGTAAAAGGGGAACTAAAAGAAGTGTCAGTATCTTGCAAGTGAATTATTTTTTATTAAAAGAAGTAAGAAAAAAAAAACGCCCGCTTCTAGCGGGGGAGCAGTTTGATGATTGTAATAACAAGCAGCATGACATACAATAATGATTAAAGCGAATAATATCATATCTTGTTAATAATATTTTTGAATTGATTTAATCGAACATCTGATATAGAACTCATGTTTAACGAGATGAGTGTAATAAATATATATGATGATGTTTGAATATCGGTTTACTTCGTATTACGAGTTATAGTCTCCGATTATTATAAATACTTGTAAAATAGGTATGATACACAATGGGTTTTGAAAATTGATTCATGAATCGTGGTGATAGACTACGTGAAACTTAATTCCAAGAGGAGATAAATTGATGGTCAAAAAGATTGGAAGCTACAAAGAATGTATAGAATCTCTTAATGGTATGAAGTCTTTTGAAAAAATTATACAAGTTTGGTCCAAAATGAAATATATCACTTTTTTTTTTTTTTAAATCTCAGGATAATACGCAATTGCTACATTCTCTGTCACAGTCTCTGTTCTTCGAGCAGTGAGCATTTTGTGCGCACTGGGTAAATTCAATCATTGTATAATAGCTTGCAAACTACATAGGAGATGTAAACCACACTAACCAAGTCCTATGTAACAATCTCAACTCAGAAGACATTGAGGGGGTCGATTTCTGATCATCCGTAAGAATAACAACCCTCCAAGTCCAAATCAACTCAGTCATCGTCCAAAGGACTATTATATCACTTCATATTAAGAATATTTTAAAAATGATTTACTCTAATATATATATTAAAATAAACACAAAAATAAAATTAAAATTATTGAATTTGATCGATTTCATATCACCGCAGCTGGACAGAAGAATGTGAGAAAGTTATGGGTTATAAAAAGAGGGGTAAAGAAATTAAATCAAAAGTAATGGGTTGGGTTGGTTACGTTAAGGGGTGTGACAGTGGACACATTATATTATTATATACTATATAATATACATACATATATACATTTAGGGGAAGAGGATTCTGACACTGAAATGACTCATCAACTCCTAAATTATTCAGTGTGGAGGGAAAAAGAATAGGGCCACCCAAAGGAGAAAAATGAAAAATTGCGCTTTAAATCTAGCTCACGATTTCAAATCTCGATCAGTATGAAATAATATAGAAATGTTTATGTAAATTAAGTTTAAATTCATGTTAAGTTGTATAAGTATAAAATTGTATGCAAATTATAACTATAATAAAGTACATATACATTATATAAAATAGGGGAAAAGGACAAATATATCCTCGAACTATCATAAATGGTATGCAGATATCCTCTGTCAGATTTTTAGGACATTGGTGCCCCTGCCGTCTAAAAACTAGAGCAAATATACCCTTTATACTAACGGACATACACGTGTCATAATCTTATCCATCGATTCGACATTTATTATATATCGGATCAACGAATAAGATTGTGTCACGTGTCCCTATTTAGTCTTTCGTTAGAGTGAATGGCATTTATGCTCTAGTTTTTTAGCGTAAGGGGCACTAATGTCCCAAAAATATGACAGAGGATATCTGCATACCATTTACGATAATTCAGGGGTATATTTATTTTTTTCCCTATAAAATATGTATAGGAATTGAATTGAAATTGTTAGTGAGTTGAACAAACAAACACCTTTTTTTCCCCAAAAATATGCTATAATATGTTAAAAGCTTACTAAGTTTGGTAAATAAAAGAAAAATACTTATAAATTTAATAATATAAGGTCTCGTATGTTCAAAATAATATAAATATGTAACATATATACAAAAAAATAATTAAGTGAATTCAAAATAAATATTTAATATATATATATGATCTGCCTTTGATCTATTTCGATCATTCCTTTATTTTTATACACTTTACCATAGTATATATATATATAATTAGTCAACAATTAAATAATTTTAATCGATATTCCTTTAAATAAAGGTGGCTCCGCCACTGCGTGTGGTTTTTTGGCATTATCCTTTGTTAGGTGTATCATTTTTCCTCTCAACATTTGTTCTTTTTGCACCTATATATATATATAAACAGTTTTGATCTAATTATTTAATAAATCAAGAAATAGGCAATTGTTTATAATTCATTTGATTAGTAGTTACCTAAAGTACAAGACACCAACCTATAATTTGAAGTCGAAATTTAAAGTTTGAGTTCTGAACTTATCACCAAATTGAGTAATTTTAAATATTATTTGCAATTTATGAATTTTATAAATATAAATACATGATCTAAACAAAAATTATGATTAATAAAAATTCAGAAAAAATCATTTAAATTATACTGACTTTCCATACTAGGAGGTTAGACATTAACAAAAAATAACATCTAAGAAGAAGCATAAACCAAAAGTTATAAATTCATTCGAATGAATACCTAATATTGTAACTCCGCCCATGATACATCCGATAATATACATATTACTTATACTATTTGTATATATAATTACAAAATCTTAATTAAGACAATTGTTATTGATTTCTAAAAAGACAAATGTGGCTACAATTTCTAATTCTATGTCAAGGTATATATTTTTCCTTTGACTAATTAATGAAACATATACTTGATTAGTCTACATTCGTTGAAATCACATTAGTTTTATGAGGTTAAAGTCAATTAAATTATGATCTTGGTTTAAGTGAAACACAACTTGGAATTAATTTATATCATTTTCACTAATCAGTAGTGTCCAACAATTAATGAACTTGTCAATGGTGACCAAGTGGAGAAGTATTTAGGTTATAATATAAATATTTTTACACTAATATAATTGTGTAAATATTTTTTACATCGCCAGTACATCGTGAAAAAAAAGTATGGAGCAGAGAGATAGACAAAGCACAAATAATAGAGAAAGAAAATACCTATTAATTACACTAATAATAAACTATTTAAGAGATTTGGTTAACAGAAACAAGGAATGCCTTTCATAAAGTTATTGCAGATGTGTTAAGCCAATAATATAGGTATAAAAAATATTATTATTTTTTATAATAAGAGTGCAACTTGGATACTGATCTCTTTGAATGTTCAAAGAATATTACTATATTTTTGTTTCTAGATTACGAAATCACACATGCTCTCCCCCTCTTACTAATCATGGAAGATTGTCGTGGAATGAATATGATCTCGTAACGTTTAATTTTTTGTTTCAAATAGAGCCATGCGAATGAAAAAAAATTGTACTAATTATAAGAAATATATTCTGTTTTTCTCCTTTAACATATCTTACACAATGCGATTATGAATTAATTTGAAAGCGAATATTATATAAACCAAGTGGAGAATATAAAAAAGTACTACAAATTAGGGATAAATTATCTCAACTTGCTATATACCACTTTGCCCTATCTTTGGATTACACAAGAAGAAGATTAGATTACATATATACAACTAAAATATTTTAGGATAAATAAACTATTAGTATTATATGTGCAACAAACTATACAAATGCAGACTATTTTTTTAATTTACTCCTCAGTATATGCACTTTTGATTATTATTATTATTTTCGAATGATATGTATAAAATTGTAGTAGCATTAAATTTCAAGTCATCAAATGACGGAGCCAAAAATTCATATAAAGAATTTTAATAAAATATTAAAAATTTAAAATGTCATATATAATTAAGATTTGAACTTGTGACATAAAATAACTATTTGATTTTTTTTACGACTATATATACTAGATTTCTTCTTGTTTGAAAATTCAACAATTTATAAATATGTTTACCGAAAATTAAATAACTTCACTTTTTTCCCAATTTGAAAAAGTATATATGTAATTTTTCAACGAACTTCCCTCTTATTGGCATGTTTTGTCCTTGTATATACACTGACAATGTAAGAAAATTTTACTTAACTAGTTAATTATAACTATTTATATATGTTCTCTACATTTTTATTTGAATAAACTATACATAGTGTAATAAAAGTAAAATGTCCTTCTTATAAAGCCAAATAAAATTACAATCCTATCCCTCATGAACCCTATATTTGCTCTTCATTTTGAACCCTATAGATGTTTTTGGGATTAGAGAAAACACTGCCCCTCATTTAGAGGGCACCCCATTTATGACCAACAAGAAATGGAGAGAGACAAGGGTGAGTGGGTGGGTGGGGGTGGGGGGTATCTAGGGGGTGG